ACAGTACTCCCAGCTTCACTTCTTCAATCACCACCACCGAGACTACCTCACACAGTACACCCAGATACACTTCTTCGATCACTATCACTGAGACCACCTCAAACAGTACTCCCAGCTTCGCTTTGATCACCACCACCGAGACCACATCCCACAGTACTCCCAGCTTCACTTCTTCGATCACCATCACTGAGACCACCTCATATAGTCCTCCCAGCTTCACTTCTTTGATCACCACCACCGAGATCACCTCACACAGTACTCACAGCTTCACTTCTTCGATTGCCACCACCGAGACCACATCCCACAGTACTCCCAGCTTTACGTCTTTGATCACCACCAGGGAGACCCCCTCACAGGGTACTTCCAGCTTCACTTTTTCGGTAACCACCTCTGAGACCCCCTCACACAGTACTCCAAGCTTCACTTCTTCGATCACAATCACCGAGACCACCTCACACAGTACTCCCAGCTACACTACCTCAATCACCACCACCGAGACCCCCTGACTACGCCTCCAGTCACCTGCAAGGACCCATACACAGTGCTCTGACCATACCTCATTCACCACCACACAGGACCACCTCACTGATTGCTCTGACTTCACTTTATTAGATCCTGCACTGCTGAGACCACCTCACACGGTACTCCCAACCCCACTTCTTTGACCACCACCACCGAGACCACATCCACAATTGTCGCTTCACTTTACCTCAATCACTGCCACCGAGACCACCCCACACACGAGTACTCCCGGCTTTAAAAGCTAGCTGATCACACCACCAGAGACCACATCCCCACAGTGCTCAGTTTCCTTCTTCAATCACCACAGACCTTCTATAGTGCTCCTTCACTTCTTTGATCACCACCATAACACAAGGACCACACTCGCAGTACTCCCAAGCTGCTTCTTCAATCCCACACATCGAGACCAGCTCCTAGTACACCCAGCTACACTTCTTCGATCAGAACCACTGAGACCACTCAAACAGTACTTGATTCACTTCCTCAATCCACCCACACCGAGACCCCTCACACAGTGCTTCAGCTTCACTTCTTCCGCCTTGCCACCTTTGAGACCACTCCACACAATGCTCCCAACTTCACTTCTTGACCACCACCACTGAGGACCATCCCACAATGCTACTTGGCTTCATTCCTCCAATCCGCCACCACTGAGACCCCCTCATGAGTACTTTCCCAGCTTCCTTCTTCAATCACCACCACAGAGACCACATCCACAATTTACTCCAAACTCACTTCTTCAATCCTGCACTGGGACCCCTTCACATAGTGCTCCCAGCTTCAGCCTAACTGATCCCACCTACAGAGACCGCCTCACTTTACTAATTGCTCCCAAACTGCTTCTTTGATCACATCACTGGACCACATCCCTGGCACTCCAAACTTCACTTCTTTGATCACCACACTGAGACCACATCCCACAGTACTCCAGGCTTCACTTCTTCAATCACCACCACTGAAACCACCTCACAGAGTACTCCCAGCTTCTACTTCTTTTTCAACTCCACAAAGACACCTCCCAGTTGCTCCCCGGCTTCGCTTCTTTGGTCACCACCACCGAGGACCACATCCGCGAGTACTCCCAGCTTCAGCTGCTTTGATCACCTGCTTGAGACCACCTCACACAGTCTCCCCAGCCGCTTCTTTGAGTCTTGCCATCCACGAGACCAGCTCACTGCTTGCTGCCCATTCACATTCTTCAATGCTTGCAGGCTAAGGACTACCTCTCTGGTGCTCCCAGCACAGCTGTTCGATCCGCCACAGGACCGCCACCACACGGTGCTCCTCTTTGAAGCCCTTCTTCAGTCACCACCATGAGCACCCTCTTTGATTGCTCTGACCCCATTGGCTGATCACCGCAGTGCACCTCCTGCATTGCTCCCAGGTGCCCGTCATCCAGATCATGAATAGGACCACTCATAGTGCTCCAGAAGCCCAACTTGGTCCCTTACCCCAAGGACCTCCTCACTTACAGTACTCCACAGCCACCATCGCCAGTCACCATCACCAGGACCACATTAAACAGTACTCTCAGCTTCACTTCTTCAATCCCTCACTGACCACCTCCTTACAATGCTCCCAGCTTCACTTCTTCAATCCACCACCACACGAGACCAACTCACACTGTACACCCAGCTACCTTCTTCAATCGCCATGACCAAGGTTCACCTCCCACAGTACTCCCATTTACTTCTTTGATCCACCACAGGGCCTCCTCACACAGTACTCCCAGCTTAAAGCTAGCTGATCACCACCATGGGGACCCCACACACAGTGCTTCCATTCACTTCTTCGATAACCACCTCTGAGACCCCACTACAACAGTACTCAACCACCATTATTCAATCACCATCACCAAAGGACCACCTCACACAGTACTCCCAACTTCACTTCTTCGACCACCACTAAAGCGAGACCATCACACAGTGCCACAGCTTCACTGCCTCAGTCACCACCACTGAGACTACTTCACAGCAGTGCTCCCATTTCACTTCTTTGATCACCACCAGCGAGACCTCCTCTCACACAGTACTCCCAGCTTCACTTCTTCAATCACCACCAACAGATCCATCACACAGTATTCCCAGCTTCACTTCTTCAATCACCACAACCGAGACCACCTCACACAGTACTCCCAGCTACACTTCTTGAGTCACCTATCACAGGCCACTTCACACAGTACTCCCAGCTTCACTTCTTCAGTGATCCGCACCACAAGGACCACATCCGCGGTATATATTCACTTCTTAGATTGCCACTGCAGGACCACATCCACAGTACTCCTGTGGCTTTCCTTCTTCGAATCCACCACCACCGAGACCACATCCCACAGCACTCTATGGGTTTCATTTCGTCCACGATCCAGCACCACGCTGAGATGACATCCCCACAATCTCCCAGCTTCCCAGCCTCCAATCCCACCAACGCAAGCCACCACATTGCTCCCAGCTTCTGCTTCTTTGATCACCACCAACGGGACCACATGCCAAAGTACTCCCAGCTTCACTTCTTCAATCACTGACAGTTCCCTCACACAGCACTCCCCAGCCTCACTTCCTCCATCACCATCACTGAGACCACATCACACAGTACTCCCAGCTTCAGTTCTTCAATCACCAACACAGAGGCCCTCACATAGTCTGCTCCCGGCTGCTTCTTCAATCTTTACGGCACCACCTCACACAGTACTCCCGGTTACACTTCGCCAGTCACCACCACAGCCCGAGACCACCTCCACGAGAGTACTCCCAGTTTCACTTCTTGATCACCACCACACAAGACCACCTCACACAGTACTCACGGCTTCAGCCGCTGGCACAGTTGGCACCACGAGGACCACATCACTGGTGCTCAAGCTTCACTTCTGTCTACCACACGGAGACTCCCTACCTCACATGAGTACTTCGAAAGCCACTTCTTAATTATACCTCTGAGACCTCACGACCCTTCCAAGCTTCGCTTCTTCTGATAATGAAGCATCACTAAAGGACCACCTCACACAGGTACTCCCAGCTACACTACCTCCAATCACGTCCTGCTGGGACCCTCACAGTGCTCCCAAAGCCACCACCCTCCAGCTACGCCCTGAAAGCACCTTACACAGTGCTCTACAGCTTCACTTCTTGAACACCACCAGTGAGACCCCTCACCCTGAGCCCTTAGGCTTAGCCGATTACCACCACTTTCAGGACCACTTCACGAGTACTCCCAGGGTGTCGCCTAGCCGATCACCACTACGCGGTTCGCCCACACAATTAACCAGTTCACTTCGTCAATCACCACCACCGAGACCACCTCCGACTTAGCACTGCCAGCTTTACACTTCTTTATCACCACAACCGAGACCTCACACGGTATTCCCAGCTTCTGCTTCTTCGATCCACTTACCAGGACCCCTCACGCAGTGCTTCCAGCTTCACTACTTTGATGTAACCTTAGGAGCTCCTACTACAGTACATTTAGCTTCACTTCTTCAGTCACTTTACAGCTGAGACCACCCTCATCCCCCTGCCAGCTACACTTCTTCAATCACTACCACTGAGACCACTTCACACAGTACTCCCAGCTTCACTTCTTCGATCACCACCAGCACACAGGATCACATCCCACAGCACTCCAGCACTTCTGTTATCACCACCACCGAGACTGCTCGCATAGTTCTCCCCCTTCACTTCTTCAATAACCACCACAGTGACAACCTCAAACAGTACTCCCAGCTTCCGCTTCTTCGATCACCACCGCTGAGACCACATCCCACAATACTCCCAGCTTCACTTCTTCAGTCACCACAAGCCAGACCGTTCACTCGAGGCGCCAGCTTCACTTCTTTCAATCACCACTACGAGAACACGCCTCAAACAGCACTCATGGCTACAATTATTTTTCACACATAGCAGAGGCCACCTCACACAGTGCCTCTCAGCTTCACTTCTTCCATCACCACCTGAGACCACTCCCACACCCAAGGTATTCCACGGCTTCCACTCTTCAATCACCACAATAAGAACCTCAGACAGTGTAGCTACCTTCTTTAGAATTCACCACCACTGAGTCCACTTCACACAGTACTCCCAGCTTCACTTCTTGGATCACCACCACTGGGACACATCCACAGCACTCCCAGCTTCTACTTCTTCAATCACCACCACCGAGACTGCCTCACACAATTCTCAGCTGCTTCTTCCAGTTACCACAGAGACCACCTCTAGCACAGAACTCCCAGCTTCATACAGCAAATCACCACCACTGGACCACCTCCACAGCACTCCCAGCTTCCACTTCTTTGATCACCCCCATGGGAACCCCCCTCACACAAGTACTCCCAGCTTCACTTCTTGATCACCACCACTGGAGCCACCTCACCCAGTACTCCCATCACCACCACCGAGACTGCCTCACACAATTCTCCTAGCTTCACTTCTTCAATTACCACCACAGAGACCACCTCATACAGAACTCCCAGCTTCACTTCTTCAATCACCACCACTGAGACCACCTCCCACAGCACTCCCAGCTTCACTTCTTTGATCACCCCCACGGAGACCCCCTCACACAGTACTCCCAGCTTCACTTCTTCGATCACCACCACTGAGGCCACCTCACCCAGTACTCCCAACTTCATTACTTCGATCACCACCACTGAGACCACCCCACCCAGTACTCCCAGCATCACCTCTACGATCACCACCACCAAGACCACACCCCACAGCACTCCAAGCTTCACTTCTTTGATCACCACCACCGAGAACACCTCCCACAGCACTCCCAGCTTCGCTTCTTCTATCACCACCACAGAGACCACCTCACACAGTAATCCCAGTTTCACTTATTTGATCACCACCATGGAGACCCCCTCACACAGTACTTCCAGCTTCACTTCTTCGATAACCACCCCTGGGATCCTGCCACACAGTGCTCCCAGCTTCACTTCTTCAATCACCACTAGCGAGACCCCCTCACATAGTACTCTCAGGTACTCCCCAGGCTTCACTACATAATCCACCACCACGAGACCACCTCACAGTGTCAGCTACAATTTCTTTGATCAACTTTCCAAGGGAGACCTCCTCACACAGTGCTCCCAGCCTTCACTTCTTCAATCACCTTCACAGGGACCACCTCACACAGTACTCCACAGCTACACTACCTCAATCACCACTAGCAGAGGACCCTCACATAGTACTCTGGGCTTCTACTTTATCAATCACCACAGACCACCTCACAGTATACAAAGCTACATTTCTTTAGGTCAACACCAGGGGACCTCCACCCACAGTACTCCCAGCTTCACTTCTTCAATCTACAGGACCCCATCTTACAGTGTTCAGCTTCCCTTCTTCAATAACTGCTTCTGTGGAGACCACCTCACACAGTGCTCCCAGCTACACTTCTTAGGTCACTATCACTGAGACCACTTCACACAGTGCTCCCAGCTTCACCTCTTGATCACCACCACTGAGACCATATCCCACAGCACTCCCAGTTTCACTTGATCCACCACCACAGACTGCCTCCACACCAGTTCTCCAGAAGCTTCACTTCTTCAATCACCACACAGACAGCCTCACACGATACTCCCAGCTTCACTTCTTCGATCACTACCATGAGACCACATCTCCACAATACTAGCAGCTTCATTTCTTCAATCACTGGAAGCCATATCTGCTCCACCCAATTGCTCAACCTCACTTCTTCAATCCTGCATACACGAGACCACCTCAAACAAGCCTTTCATTAGCTACAATTCTTTTTCTTTGAGGCAACCTCACACAGTACTCCCAACTTCAATTCTTCCATCACCATCACCAAGACCCTCCACAGTATTTGACTTCACATCTTCAATCACAGCCAAGACCACCTCAGACAGTACTTCCAGCTACCTTCTTTAGTCACCACCACCGAGTCACTTCACACAGTACACCCAGCTTCACTTCTTGGATCACCACAGGACCACATCCAGCACTCCCAGCTTCTTCTTCAATCACCACCACAAGACTGCTCCACACAGTTCTCAGCTTCACTTCTTCGATCCCCTGCATGGAGACCACATTCCTCAGTACTCCCAGCTTCACTTCTTCAATCACCACCACCAAGACCCCGCCCACAGTACTCACAGCTGGCTTATAATCACCTCCAATGAGACTCCTCACAGAGTGTTCCCAGCTTCACTACCTCAGTTATCACCACAGGACCACCTCACACAGTACTCTGGCCTTTGTTTGATCCTGCAAAAGCGGGAACCCTGCACTCAGTGCCTCCTGCTTCATTTCTTCAATAGCCACCACCGAGACCAGCTACCCAGTATTCCCAGCTTCACTTCTTTGATCACCACCACAGGACTGCCTCTGCCCAGAGGACAACCTCACACAGTACTCCCAGCTTCACTTCTTCGATCACTACCACTGAGACCACATCTCACAATACTCGCAGCTTCATTTCTTCAGTCACTGGAAGCCATATCTGCTCACCCAGTACTCCCAACTTCACTTCTTCAATCACCGCCACCGAGACCACCTCAAACAGCACTCGTAGCTACAATTCGTTTTTCACCACAACCGAGGCAACCTCACACAGTACTCCCAGCTTCAATTCTTCCATCACCATCACCAAGACCCTCCCACACAGTATTCCCAGCTTCACATCTTCAATCACCACAGCCAAGACCACCTCAGACAGTACTTCCAGCTACACTTCTTTGATCACCACCACCGAGTCCACTTCACACAGTACACCCAGCTTCACTTCTTGGATCACCACCACTGAGACCACATCCCACAGATTTCCCAGCTTCAATTCTTCCATCACTTATCACTAAGACTTCCCCACACAGTATTCTCCCCTTCACATCTTCAATCACCACAGCCAAGTGACCACCTCTCAGACAGTACTTCCAGCTACACTTCTTTTGATCACTACCACTGAGTCCACTTGGCTATTGAGCATAGCACTCCAGCTTACTTTCTTGATTACCACTACTGAGACTACATCCCATAGCACTCTCCCAGCTTACTAATCACCACTAGACTGCTCTACATAGTGTTTCTCTCTAGCTACTTTCTGATTCCTACTATGAGACTACATTCTCAGTGCTTCCTAGCTGTTTCTTTTCAATCACTACCACTAAGACTCCTTTTACACAGTACTTCAGCTACACAACTCAATCACTCTAATGAGACTCTCTCACAGAGTATTCCCAGCTTCACATTCTTAGTATTACTTACTGGCAAGTACAATTCAACAGGCATGACCACTTACAGTACTTCCTAGCTTCTCTACTTTTGAGTCACTACTATGGGAACCCTCGCACTCAGTAATTTCCCTGCTTCATTTCTTCAATAGCCACCACTGAGAGACTACTTTTCACCTAGTATTCTAGCTTCACTTCTTTGATCACCACCACCGAGACTGCTCTCTACCCAGTACTCTAGCGCTTCACTTCTATCACTACCGCTCACTGAGACTACATCTCTGCTAATAATTTTGAAGCCATTTTTCAGTCACTGAAGCTGTGACTCCACTTCACCCAGTACTCCCAGCGCTTCACTTCTTCTGCTAATCACCACCACTAAGACTACCTCAAACAGGCACCTATAGCTAAGCAATTCTTTTTTTTCACTCACAACCGAGGCCTTGACAGTACTCCCAGCTTGCTTCAATCACTACCACCAAGACTCAGTATTCTCAAGCCATTTCCTCAACTACCAACCGACACTCACTTGGGATAGTACTCAGCTAATTTTTGATCACCATGACTGAGACCACATCCTACAGCACTCCTCCCAGCTTCAATTTTTCAACTACCACTACTGAGATTGCTTCCTACAGTTCTCTCTGTAGATTCACTTCGATCACCATCACAGAGACCACCCACAGGTACTCCCAGCTTCACTTCGATCACCACCACTGAGACTCTCACATCCTGGCTAATACTCCCAGCTTACTTTTCACCACCACCGAGAGTACCCCACCCACTCTAGCTTCATCTCTTTGATCACCACTAGGAGACTACATCCTACAGTACTCCCAGTTTCTACTTTTGATCACCACTACTGAGACTTTTGCTACAGTAATCTTCTAGCATATTTCAATCACTACCATAATTGAGACTTCCTCTTTTGCTAGAATACTTCCTAGCTCTACTTCAGCTCACTACTTACTCACTAAGACTAATTTACATTAGTACTCCCAGTTGCTAGCTTTTCTTAATCAGTAATCGTGAGATTCCTTACATAGTAGAGTTTCTTTAGTTTCACTTCTTCAATCACCACCGCTGAGACCACTTATCCAGTGCACTCTTCTCAGCTTCTACTTCTTCAATCACCACTCACTGAGAATATTCTGCCTAGTGCTCTAAGTTTCTTTAATTACCACTACTTGAGATTACCTAAACAGTAATTTCCTAGATTTACTTTTTTATCACTACAATTTGTATTTACCTTTGCCAGTACTTCCTATTCGATTACTACTAATGATATCTCACATAGTATCATTTCTAGTTTACGCTCTTTTCGATTACTTCATAACTGAGATTACTCCTCTTTGCATTTCCCAGCGTAATTCTAATCACACTACCGAGGCGCAGGTTCCCACAGTTTCTCTCTAGCTTACTTTTTCTAATTACCACTCTAAGACTACTCTCCCTAGCATCCCTAGCTTCTACTTTCAATCACCACCACTAACACCCCACTCTTGCCACAGCCAGCATTCCCAGCTTCACTTTTAATCACCACAACAGAGACTACCTTTCATAGTAATTTCAGCTTTACTTTTTCGATCGCTGCCTTCTACCGACTACATCCTGTACAGTATTCTAGCTTCTACTTTTGATCACCACCAGAGACTACCTTTGCCACAGCATCTCTCCTAGCTTCTTACCTTTCTGATCACTAATGCCATACTGAGACTATCCTACAATACTTCCCAGCTTACCTCTTCAATCATCACTACCGAGATTCAACCCATCAGTAATTTCCTAGCTTACTTTTGATTACTACCACGGAGAGATCGCATCCCATAGTACTCCCAGCTTCTACTTTTCAATCACCACTACTGAGACTTCACACAGTAATTCTAGCTACACTCACTTTAACTGGGCTTCACTATCCCAGCTACACTACCTCAATCACCACCACTGAGACCCCCTCACAGAATACTGCCAGCTTCACTACCTCAATTACTACCACTGAGACCTCACACAGTACTCCCAGCTTCACTTCTTCAATCACCACCAGCAAGACCATCTCACACAGTGCTCCCAGCTGCACTTCTTCTATCACCACCAGGGAAACCACCTCACACAGTACTCCCAGCTTAACTGCTTCGATCACCACCACCGAGACCATATCCCAGAGTACTCCCAGCTTCACTTCCTTGATCACCACCACTGAGACCACATCTCACAGTACTCCCAGCTTCAGTTCTTCGATCACCAACACCAATACCACATCTCCCAGCAATCCAGGCTTCACTTCTTTGATCACCACCACGAAGACCACCTCCCAAAGCCCTCCCAGCTTCACTTCTTTGATCACCACCACCGAGACCACCTCACACACTTCTCGCAGCTTCACTTCTTCCATTGCCACCAGTGAGACCACATCCTACAGTACTCCCAGCTTCTCTTCTTCAATCACCACCAGCAAGATTCCCTCACACAGTACTCCCAGTTTCACTTCTTCAATCACCATCACGGAGATCACATCACACAGTACTCACAGCTTCACTTCTTCAATCACCACCACCGAGACCCCCTCAAACAGTATTCCCAGCTTCACTTCCTCAATCACCACAACAGGTACCACCTCACACAGTACTCCCAGCTATATTTCTTTGATTACCAGCCCGGAGACCTCTTCACACAGCAATCCCAGCTTCACTTCTTCGATAACCACCACTGAGACCACATCCCACAGCACTCCCAGCTTCCATTCTTCAATCACCACCACTGAGACTGACTCATACAATTCTCCCAGCTTCACTTCTTCGATCATCACCACAGAGACCACCTCACACAGTACTCCCAGCTTCACTTCCTTGATCACCACCATGAAGACCACATCCCACAGTACTCCCAGCTTCACTTCTTCAATCACCACCAGGGAGATCCCGTCATACAGTACTCCCAGCTACACTACCTCAGTCACCATCACTGAGACACCCTCACAGAGTACTCCCA